GTCTGTGTGGCTAGAGGAAAGGGGAGGAGGAAATCGCCTCCGAGGCATCTCACCTATCATCACGCACGATTTGCTTTATTGAAATTAATATCAACTTGGAACACAACGACGGCACCTCGAGGCCCCCATGTTGTGACATGCACAACATTGCAACTTCTTTACCACCACCAAATCCTCACTTTAATGCAGTGTAATGTTTTAGTGTACGGACACTGATGCAAGCGATTTGCCAAATAGGAAAGACGCTGCAACAGTAGACATTGGCGTGGGGGTGAAAAATGGGGTGTGTTTAAATGCCAAACCAGGCAGCCTCTTAAAGCCGGGTCGAAGCGTGGACGGCTGGGAGGGTAAGTGGAATCGTGACACCTAAAACCTGATTAGATGTAAGGACGTTTGCATTGAGTGGCGAATGGGGAGGTAAAAGGTCGAAAAGTGGCACTTCTGGTGCCCTCTTCATCAAATCTCCTCTCTACTTAATGCAGTCATGCATGCAACTCCTCAACACCCCTTTCAATCTCACCTCTTGTTGTGTCAGGTAAGACAATGCGACCCCGCCTCAGACCTTCTCAATAAATTGCAACGCCTCTGTCCTCATGTCTTATGACAATGGCACCAGTCTCTCTTGCTTTCCAAAGTACCAACTCGTAGGCCAATTACCAAAAATGGTGGTTTGCATGACCCCATGTAGTCCACCTCCAGGGTTTGCATTTCACGAGAGATTGATTGGCCTCGCCACCTCACATGCCGCCATATCGCAACAAGTAACTCATCATCTCATCCTCCTCCTCCTCCTCCTCCTCCTCCTCGTCCTCGTCCTCATTCTCCTCGCCCTCATTCTCCTTCGCCTAGTTGACACTGAGGTGGTACAAACACAAAGCAGTATATCATTCCCGATTTGCGAGGCGACTTATTCCTCCAACTCCTTCTCCTTCCTACTGACCTTTTTTCCTCCAACCTCGTCTACTACACATCATCCCAAACGTGTGCCAACCTCTACCCTCCTGACATCTCTCATCTTCCACAGTCAATCAATCTAACATCCACCTTTCGCTACATTTACTGTTTCACCATCGTCAGCCTCACGATAGCAGCAACAACACCATCAACTCTTCTCCTACACAGAAATGGACAATCTCGAGCCTGCTCTCAACGCAGAGGCATTGAAATGAATGCAACTTATCCAATCAAAGCCACCTTTGCATCATGACACAAGCTTGAGCGGTCCGTGATGATGGCAGTGACATAAAGCGCTGCGTATCATGA